GTTGGGCTCTTGGCAAGTTTCACCCTTGGTCTCGCAGCCAGACTCCCTCCCTCTCCCCCCCCTCCCTGTCTCTCGCTCTGTCTTTTCCTCCCTTTCTATCTTTGTTAGCTGTAAGAAGAGCCCAACCCCTTCCTAGTTCCTGTAACTTATCCACCTCCTTCAGTGCTGGGTACTACCCTGTGAGCCTGGCGCCCAGTGGGACATACTGAGACGGGGGCAGCCAGTGGCAATGACCTTTTGGAACCCGGCTGCGGGTTTATTAGGAGCATCTCTGGCACAGGGGGAAGCAGCCACGCATGGAGCCTTTGCCGAAGGCTGACTCCTCGCACTGTTATTCTGATTGCTATTTGGATTTCACCTGCTTCTTCTCTTTTCTTTGGCCAACGTTCTCTCCAAGAGGGAGGGCCGTGCACATTGCTAAAGTTAACAAGGCTTTTCCCATCTTTCTCTTCTCTTCCCCATCTGTCTCTCCTTCTTCTCCCATCCTCATCTTGCTGACATATTCCCTTTCCCTGTCTGTCACCCTGAGTCTTTTCCTCTGTTTCCTCATCTCTCTCAACTATCAGTCTGCCCCCCACCACTCTACCCCAATCATTACTTGTCTCTCTTCCTCTCCCTTCCTTGCCTTTCTCTCCCTGTCTCCTCTTGCTCTGGTCTCTTTCTCTTTGCCTCCCGAGGCCCTTTCTTTTCCCCTTTGCTGGGATCACTAAAGCTCCCTGGTTGGCGGAGACCCTGCAATTTGGTTCAGTGCCGAGCCACTGTGTCCTTCTCCCCACCTGACTGCTTTTTGCTCAAGGTCACTGCAGTAATTCCATATGAGGCTGCCTGGTGCTGCCTTATCTACCACACGGTTTCTGTTTCACTCCCTTTATATTCCTGGGGATATTGTATTCGATAAAACTCACTGCTTTTAACACCATTGGCAGGGCTCCAGGCACAAACACTCTGCCTCCTCCGTGCTGCCACCCATGTCCAACTTTTGTTTTTTCTCCTTCTTTTGTTCCTGTGTCTCTGGATGTCATAAAAACTGAAAACTTTCTGGGAAGTTTTGCAAGCAGGTGAATAATTGCACGGACAGCACACGTTGCCGGCTGGAGACAGCCCTGGTGCTAGTTGGCACATTGAGAATGTATGGACCTGGGGCTTCTACTGAAGAGGGAACCTGCTGGGAGCTAGAAGGGAATGTCCTGAGCTGAGGCTTTGATACAAGGGAGAATTTAATCAGCAAAAGCCTAGCGTTCGCCAGCAGGGAAGGTGGAACTTCGTCAATAACCTTGTTGCACTCAGAAGGGAAAGTGCTGATCTTGATCCTGAAGGACTTAACTTGATCAGCTCAGTTGTTTTTAAGCAGTAAGGAGTGAATGTCTCCCCCCACCCCCGTCGGGTACTGCTGTCTCTGGTTGCAGTCATTTTACTGGCATTTAGCCGCAGTAAGATCTAAAGACAGTAAGCGGGTTGAGCTGGGCTGCACTGTGAAAGGAAATCAATACAGGGAAATGTCTTGAAAGAAACTTCTTTAGTCCCATGAGCCATCTCTGCGGATTCCTCTCTCTCTGCCTCAGTGAGTGTGATGCCTACACTGGCTGGGGGTGGGGAGGTGGCCTGTTCTTCACCGATGGCCATGGGGTTAACCAGGCCATACCCAGGCAGAGGCAGGGCCTGTTCATCTGAGGCGTTCTCTAAGCAATTCTAGGACATGACTGGTTTAATGGAAGGTGGTGGGAGATGCGTACTCTCCGTGGGTGTGTTCACGTGAAGCTATTTTCAGCCCCGACTCCGTCATGGAGAAAATGAGGTTCCCTAATGGAGGTTATAGGTGAGTCACTCAGGAAGGGTAAGTAAGGATGAAAACAAGATGTAGCAACTGAATTCCAGGGAGCAGTCACCTCCCCACAGTTGCCTCTCAAGCCAGGAGGTGAGGACTGAAACCACTGTGTCGCCGCACTCGTGGGAGTGCTGGGTCAGGGGCAAACCCAGTCAGAGTGTGGAATTGGGATAGGATCTCTAGCACAGGTCAGACTTGAGCCTTCTCTTTGGGGCAGTGCGGGCAGTGCTGTGCGGTGATCTCCAAGCGTACATTAGCTGGAGCACAAGAAGGGAAGCAGGGGAAGTGAAGGGGGTGGGCCTAGAAAGCAAAGGTTGGCCTTGAGCACAAGCAGTCCAAGAGGTCACTGGGGTAGCTCTGCAACTTACGGTTTACCCTTCTCCTGAGGAAGGAGGAAACAATTCATAGGATCCTTACGCTCATTCCATCACCAGAGAATTGGAGTGGGGGAGGGGAAACTCCTGCCCTGATTGTTCCCCCCCTTCCAGAAGCTTGGAGCCCCCGCAGGTTACTCAGAGTAGATTTAAATGACAATTTTAAAACATCAGTACCCTGTCTACGCTGCAGCCGTCACCGTTACTACGGTGGAGAGTCATGGGTCCCAATTTCCTTTCTGTTGACACAGCTTTGAAAACCTCATTGTAATATGCATCATCTTTTCATCGCAACAGGGCTGAGGGTTACTTTCTACACATGCAAATCCTGTCCCTGGGACTCTGGAGGGTGGCTTAGCTGTTCTGCACCCCCGTGTGTGTGTGTGTGTTCGAGTGTGTGTGCGTGCATGAGAGAGAGAGATACTTTGTGCTCATTCGAAAGAAAATTCAAAGTAAAATGTTCTCGTCTTTCTGCACCCACCACCTCCACCCTCTATCAAATTAATTTCTCCCTCCACCCGCCTCTCTCCTGCTACCTCTGCTTGGATATAACATTAGCAGTTAGGTGGGCTGCAGCGTGGCAGGAACATGACGGAGACCCCGCATGGGGAATGCACTTGTTTAAAAAAGAACTTGTAGCGAGTGTCGTGATCTTGAAAGGTGCTGGAGATTCTGTTCTATCTGCAGGACAGGCACAGTGGCAGCATGAGGCCATGTGGTCTGGTGGGCTGAGCCCAAGGCCAGTGACAGAGCCTTGTGTGTTCTCATCTTGATCTGCCGCGCTGGCTTGCGGGGTGTCACTTGACCTCCGTGTCTCAGTTATCCCTTCTGTCAACGGAGGATCGCAGCCTTTCCCTGTTGTGGCGAGGACTAATTGAGTTAATGTGTGTGAAGTGCTCGAGGTTATTGTTACAGGAGAGGCAAGAGTAGTGCAAGTTTCCTGCACCAGAATGACCCGAGCCTGACTGGGAGAAGCCACCAGGGCAGCTGGAGAGTAACCCAGTCTCCATGACCCAATCTGCATTCAGCTTCTCTGCTGAGACTGATAACAGTGGAGTCAGTTAGCACCGGGTGAGATGTGGACACCCAGGAGCTGGACTGAAACCACCACACTTGTTTCTGATACAGCACTAAATACTAAGTCCAGGCTTTATCTTCCTGTGCTTCAGGCAACAGGGGCTCTGTGAAATTCCTGTTCTCAGACCCTGAGGGGGAGTATTGCTTGGCGTATCCCACCTTCAGATTTACTGGCCCCCATCAGTGTCCATTCCAAGAACAAGGGGTTACCTCGGTAATGCCGTGAGAGAAACTCGGAAAGAGAGGAAGAGGTTTGGTGAACCTGCCAGTCATTTCTCTACAGAGATGCAGGCTGGAGATATACCCTGAACAAAACTCCTGCATCACACTCTAACTGAACCCAAAGTCTGGGGTGAAACCGTGGCTCCACTGAAGGCAATAGCAAAGCTCCTATTGACTTCAGTGGAGCCATGATTTGGCCCCTGGTTCATAGAGAGTCTCTAAACATCTCAGCATTCTCAGACCTCAACATTCTCAGGGTCAGTTTGACTTGCCTAAGCATTCCAGAGTTTGGGATGCTTACCCAACATGCCTGGGTGCACGGAACTGGGTCAGAAATCTTGTCATCTCTAGCACCTTTGTTTCTGATAGGAAATATCATGAGAATAGGCCCGCTTGTGGCATTGCAGCACCTGCTTCCCTTGCTGGGATCCCGAACCAGCTTACAAGCTCAGAGAATGGTCAGTTTGAGTGTGGGGGTACAGGTTTGTTGGGGGGAAAGTTTCTTATTTTAGCCAAACTGATGCACTAATCCTCAGTCTTGAGCCAATTGTTCTCTAACAGGAGAAGGCCGTGGATAATTTCCAGGAGAAGAATCACAGTTCGACAAGTGATTGGGAAAACAACAGCAGGGGATTCCATATTTATTGCCGCTCAAAGAAGCTCATTTGCTGAGTTTACTTGTAAAAAGGTGGCTGTTTTTCTGACTGCAAGCTCTGCCAATGCACACTGGGATCTAAGAGTCATGCTGGTTTTCTTTTCCTTCTGTGGCATCAGCACCAGTATAAAAAACCCTGTTGACTAAAGGCAGATGCATTTGGAACTTAGTTAACAATTCTGATGATGCATAGAATCGACAGAATGGAATCCATTTCCCTCTCCCATAGTGTGTTTCCATTGAAAAAACAGTATACACCTATTTTTGCCACTATGTGTGACTTAGTACATAGAGGAAGCAGATCTTTGGGGGAAGAAGGTGCCATTTTTAGACAGTTACTTTTAGGAGCAGAACCACATGGTAAAATCCGATCCAAATATTACTGTAGAATACAAGAGGAGATATCTGGAGAAACTATAAGAACCGACTATTTATTTTCTATATGATTTTTCCTTTGGATTCATCTCGATCAAATAAAAATTTAACTTGTTTGCCTTTAGCTGCAGTAAGTAGCAAGGTTAAGTCACAAAATACAAGGATGTTTGGAATAGAAGTATTATAATTTTTCATATTACATTTAATATGTCTTGATGATACACATTAAAGGTGAAAATTACTGTAGGTGCTGCCAGAGAGCAACAGAAGTGCTTTGGGAATGCAGACTGGGTCCCTTTTTCACTGGTGATTGTATTTAACACTTTCTGTCTGTTTTCCAGATCAACGTAAAACCTAGTGAGCTAGAGCTCTTTCACTGGTGAAGTTGGAACGGTGACTTTCCCACTGGGTCCCAGACTGTTTATTCCTCGGTTCTTCATTGCCCGTTGTGGATTTTCTGCAAGGTTCAGCTATGACTACCTCTGCCTTGCGCCGGCAGGTAAAAAACATTGTGCACAATTATTCGGAGGCGGAGATCAAGGTGCGTGAGGCGACTTCCAATGACTCCTGGGGCCCACCCAGCTCCCTGATGTCGGAGATTGCAGATCTGACCTTCAACACGGTGGCTTTCGCAGAGATCATGGGGATGATCTGGAGGCGGCTGAACGATAGTGGCAAGAACTGGCGCCACGTGTACAAGGCACTGACCCTGCTGGACTACCTCATCAAAACTGGATCGGAGAAGGTGGCCCATCAGTGCTGGGAGAACCTTTACACCATTCAGACTCTGAAAGACTTCCAGTACACAGACCGCGATGGCAAGGACCAAGGCATAAACGTGCGGGAGAAAGTCAAGCAGCTCACGGGCCTGCTGAAGGATGAGGAGAGGCTGAAGCAGGAAAGGGCTCATGCCCTGAAAACCAAAGAGCGCATGTCCACCGAGGGCACGGGCATCAGCAGCAGCCAGCAACTCTCCTATGGCAGGCGGACATCGCAGTATGGAGAAGACTATGGCAGGCCGAGGGGGTCTCCATCATCCTTTAATTGTAAGTGCTGCAGTGCTACAGACCGTGCGTGGTATGGAGAACATGGGTGTTTCTGACCCAAAGGAAGTGGATCACTGGGTGTCTGAAGTTCAGAAGGAACATTTTGGGCTTGCTCTTGTCTATCTTGGCAGCCCTGTCCAGAACATAGTCGTTTAGGGCAGCGGCTCAAAACCCATATCGGTTACTTTCTAGCCCCATCGCCAGTAGTCTCCACTGTGAAGCAGACACAGTTTTCTTTCTGTTTTAATATCAGGGGGTAGGTGACCTTTGGTCTTCCTCTGGGCCATCCTCACGTGCCGCTGGCATTCTGGAGAGTAAAAGCTCAGGCTGTGACTCTGCATCTCACAGAGTCTGAATTTCTTCCTGTCTTCAAGGCATTATTAATTAATGGGTAAACAAGGCACTCAGAATACAGAATTGAAGGAAGCGCCACACAGATGCAATCTCGAACACCGGGAGCTTGCTTATGTTAGGAGGTTGCAACTCTAAAACGTTTCTCAAGCTGCTGCTTTTTTTAATATTAGCCTCAACTACTTTCCAATAGTTTCCTATTCTCACACCAAGCTGCCTGCTTTGGTGGAGTCCCCCTGCCATTGTGTAGAGATTCTTGTGCTAACGGGGTCCCTGCCGACAAACACAATTTTAGTCCTAGCACGCTGAGGGGTAATTGTTCCACTTGCATCCAGACCCCAATCCCCACCCTTCTCCTTAGTCAGGCCTGTGGTTGAATTCCAGCTCTTTAAAGGCAGACTGTCTCTCTGAGTGCTCTGTGATGTCAGTGACATTAGGAGCAGCTTCCCAAGCATTTAGGGCAGTTGTTAAGCATGAAGGTCCTGTAGCCTGAGCTGGGTGGTGGGAATGAGGGGAGAGCAGAAAAGCCGTTGAGGAGGAGAAGGTGGGTGATCATTGCGGATTGACTCCTAGAAACATCCCAACTCCAGAGATTCCGTTTTTCTTCCTTCTCCTTCAATCTGAACTCTTCCTCTTTTATTTTTTATCTCAGCCTCTTCCTCGTCCCCTCAGCAAAGCTCAGACCTGGAACAGGCAAGACCCCAGACGACTGGAGAGGAGGAGCTGCAGTTACAGCTTGCACTAGCCATGAGTCGAGAGGAGGCTGAGAAGGTAATGTTTGCTGCTGCTCTCCTGTGGGGTGGTGTGATTGCCTGCAATGTCACGTGGCCCATCCAGGACTGCTGTGAGCAAATATTTCCAGCGGCTGGAGATGGGACGCATGCCGGGGAGGGCTCTGAGTCACCTAAGAGAATTCTTTCTCAGGGGTCTGGCTGGTGGGTCTTACTCACATGCTCAGGGTCTAACTGATTTGCCTTATTTGGGGTCAGGATGGAATTTCCCCCCAGGTCAGAGTGGCAGAGACCCTGGATGTTTTTTCCCTTCCTCTGCAGTGTGGGGCACGGGTCACTTGAACTGGAGTAAATGTAACTGTATGAGACTGTAACTTAAAGTCTTTAAATCAAGTTTTGAGGACGTCAGTAACTCCACCAGAGGTTATGGGCCTATTACAGGAATGGGTGGGTGAGGTCCTGTGGCCTGCGATGTACAGGACAGACTACATGAGCATGATGGTCCTTTCTGGCCTTAAAGTCTATGAGTCTATGGGATCATGATAGTAAGGCATGAGAGAGAGATTTCTAGGCCCTGTCAACCCCCATGCTAGTGTGCACAGTATTGTTTTCTCACTGGCTGCTCCATGCAGACACAGCACATCAGCATCTCGTGGCATGATGAGGATTTATTGCACAGTTGTTGCCCATTTCATATACTGTGCATACAAGTGAGACTATGACTTGGTGCATGCACTGTACCAGTACATCTTAAATCAATTCCAAATGGTCTCAGTAAGATAGATGCGGTCCATCTAAATCCTTTCTTCCGTGTGGTTGCCTTGAAGATGAATGGTCCTTTTCCATGTGCCATCAGGTGGTTTCAAAGAAGGTAAATAGAATCCAGTCTGGAGATGTGGAATCAGGACTCCCTACAGCTCATATGTAATCCAGCTGCTCTAAATACATTGGGTGAAATCCTGATGATATTGAAGTTAATGGGGGTTTTGCCATTGACTTCAATGGGGCCCAGATTCCACCCATTGTCTTTCATGTATAAATTACTCTGATTCCATTACTTTAACCATGAAGATTTTATGCTGATGTGCCCAGAATGATTCTGTTATTTCCTTGGCAGATACCAGGGAGAACCTGTGTCCCCCAGGGAGGATGGGTTCTGTACCAGGAATTGCAAACATCCTGGAGAACTGGTCCGTGTACTTGTGACTCTAGCTGTCATTTGAATGCGGTTGTGCTAGTGTGTCTGCATCTGATCACTAAGTTTATTCCACATGACTGTGTTTAATTAAGTCACTCTGGATCATTTGAAATGAGGCTAGACAAAGGTCTGGAAGACACCGTAGAAAGAAGTTCTGCCTTGGCCAGGGGGAGTGGAGGGGAGGGTAGAAAAGATAACTTAACGGGTCTTTCCCATCTCGCTGTTATATTCATCATTTTAGAGTCAGCCCCAAAATCCCAGCCTAGAGCATGTGTTGTCCTTCATGTACTTTCCCCAGCTCTCTTATCAGCTGATCTGCTTCCCCCTTTCCAGGCAGAGACTGTTTGTTTACACACACGCAGTTTGAGATTAACGCCAACTGGCACTGCCTCTCTCTAACGATACTGATGATATCTGAGGAGGACAAAGCCACTGACCCTTTGGGTGACCCCTCCAGGGTCAGGGCTTTCCCGCCTCACTGTAGTCTATATTTAAATGAAGCTTGGACCAAAATGTCTCTCAAACGCCTTCTCCTGGCTTAGCCTCTGGTGGTTGAGGTTGTCCCTGTGCCAGGATTGGCTCTAGGCCTTAGCATTCCTCTTTGTGCTGGAGCCACGCACAGTTGCTGGAGGCCTGGCTGGTTATAGGATTGCTACCTACATGGCCACCATCCCTGTTTCTGAGCAAAATAGTCACCATTTCCCACCCTTCCCTTCCTGGAAGCTCTTTGATGGACGGCAAAGAACTTGTGTCTTTATTTTTGTCCCAGAAATGTAGCTATTTGTAGCTTCCAAGACCTTATCAGGGAAGCTGCTGTGGTTATTGTTGAGGGAACATTCTAGTCAAAGAGAAGCCCATTAGAACCACCCATCTAGGCAGGCCAGGCACAACCGGGGAATGGGGGAGGCAAAAGGGACATTTGTTCCCCCCCCGCCCAACAGTCTTATGGTCAGAAAGGCCAAAATATGTACAAAGTTATCCAATGTTAAACAATGGAACAGCAGCAGACTGGTGAGTCTTTACCTTTTCACAGGTAACCGTTGACACAGGAGCCAAGTTTTCCTTTTTTAAACTCTTAAAATCCAAGCGTTTCCAGGGGTCTAACTAGCCCTTGGACTCCTGGAAGGTTGTTTTGTTTCTAAAATAGTGACCTCCCAGGGTCCCAAACTACTTGCCCCCCACTCCAAGTAATGGGACCCTAGAGCCACCCCCTGCGTCTAGGTCACACTGCTTCATGCAGAATAGCCCTCTTCCACTGCTCCTGGCTCCTTTAGCACTCATGAGTTCTCACAGACCATCAGGCCTTGCTGAAGGATTCTGTAGGGATGTCAATTGTTGCGGCTGGTAGTTGTGGTCCCATCTGCATGTTTGACCTTTTAGTGGAGAAGGGCCCAAACTGTATGTCCACCAAATCAACGTTTTCAGCATGAAGGGACATGGTCAAAATGCAGTCTGGCTCTTTTACCATTAAAGTGCGGCTCGCGGAGCCCCCCATGTCCCTCCCCCCATTCTTCACCTACCAGACTGGGGAAGAGGGGGAAGCTCAGGACCTCTGCCTGCAGCGGGGTGGTGGGATAGGGGCTTCTGCCTAGTGGGGAGGAGGGTCTTGGGGCTTCAGCCCTGCGGGGCACACCTGACAGGGCTCAGGACTTCAGCAGGAGTGGAACTGAAGCCCTGAGCCCCGTCAGGAACCTCCCACAGGGCTGAAGCCTGGAGCCTTGGCAGGTGTGCCCTGGCTCTCGAACTTCTGAAGATTGTTGTATGTGGCTCAGGGAATCAGTAAATTTGGCCACCCCTGCACTATAAGATCTTCGCTTAACCTATCTGTACTTCAGTTTTCTCATCTGAAAAGTGGGGATAATGCTGTCATCACAAGGGTGTTGAGGATTAACCGGTAACACCCGTAGAACTCTGATTCTCAGAAACTGCTATAGCAATGCAAGGAGCTGTTGTTATTCTTTATCCGTGTTATTAATGGAAGATCTGCTAATGATGTTCCCATGGAGATAAAAGAGCAGAAACATCCACTGAACTCCTGAGCAGTTTGCAAAGTGTTTAGTTTTTGCAAAGGCTGCCCTTGATATGCTCTGACCTCAGCAAGGGGAAGAAGTGTCACAGGGGAAGCTGTATGGTTAGAGGCCTGACAAGCCAGGCAGCTAAAAGTCTAAACAAAGCTTATAACCATCAACACAATGCAAGACAGAATCTTATAGGGCACAGATGAGCCTGAAGTGGCAAGGTGTTCGTATGTCAAATAATAGCGGACACACAACATCTTACATTAATATACCACCTTTCATCCTGAAGGATCCCACAGTGCTTTACAAGACAACGTCACTGAAGTGCAGCCACCTCTGAGGTGGAGCGCAGCAGCCAGTTTATGGCACCACAGTGGGAGGACTTAAGAAAAGTGCTATGGGATCTTTTATGTTCACGTAGTACAGATGGGATGTTGGTGTTAGGGCCTCACCTCAAAGACTTTGCATAAGAAGCTACATGTATATATCTAAAAAATGTGAAGGGCTAGGTCAACTGTGCCAGGATTCAAACCTGTGGTTTCAAGGTGGTGTTGTTTCAACCTAGAAGCTTCTAAACCAGCCCCTCCAGCAATGGATTGATGGGCAGAGTGCTAGAAGAGTAGATGAACAGACAAACAAAACAGTGGGTGGGTGAATGGCTGGATGGAAAAGGAAAGAGAGACCGACTGATGAGTATATGGAGGAAAGATCAGATGGATTGGTGCATGGATGATGGATGGATGAAAGAATAGACATTAAGATCGGTGGTTGACTAGCTAAATAGAAGGAAGAGTAGCAACAGATGAATGGATAAATGGCTGAATAAAAAGACTTACTGTATAACAGGCGAGGGATTGAAAGAAAGATGGTTACAAGGAAGGCGATAATTTGGTAGCAAATACAGAGACCTAGGGTCAAAGAAGCAATTTCATTCAGTTCTCCTTCATTGGCAGCAGCCGCTTCCTCCAGCCACCAGCACAGATGAAGAATTGCAATTGCAGATAGCGCTCCGCCTGAGCAAAAAGGAGCATGAGAAGGTACCCCACACCTAGCAGATCAAAGGGCACTTTCCTCTTCTTGGATTCCAGCTTCATGAGTTTCTAAATGGACCTTTGGAGTATTAAACATTGTGTAACTTTCTGCCTTGCTTGGTGTCTTCCTGGGAAGTGGTGTACCCCAATCCTTCTGCTTCTGGTGCCGGCTTGGCTGTAAACTTACTTTCACTGCTCTTAAAGCTGTGCGCTGAACATTCCTGACAGTGGATTTATCATGAAATGTGCAAATACATCAGTAAAATAAAACAAGGCTGCTGCTGGCTAATGCCCGAAACTGTAATGCACAGCAACCCCTGACCTTGGTCTCTCTGCAGAGAGTCAGTGCACATCGGTGATCATTTATCCTGTGTCTTTACTGTTCACATCCCAGACATATGCACTGTCCATTTTGACTGCAGGAAGTGAGGGCATGCCAAGGAGAGAACTCACTGCTACAGAGGGCACTGGAAGAGACCCACATGGGTATCGAGGAGGAGGAAGAAGAGGATAAGATGAAGAAAAGTCAGGTGAAAAGCTTTAGTTGGTGGTCTGGATGGCTGGGGACATATATAATCGGGTACAGAACATTTCATCTCTTGGTCTCTGGTTCAAATCTATCCTAGATTGGTAATGAGCAAAGGGATTATTACTTGATGGCTGTTCAGTGGTGTATGTGACTTGATCTGGTGATCTCAGTGTAATTCTTCATGTCTGCATGATTTAAAAAAAAAAAAGACTCTCCATAACAGTTCACACCTCATTAGCAGCCTAACCAGGGAAACTGAATTACCCCTGGATTGTCCCTCCAGGATGGGCTTGAACAGGCTGGGAGACACTTGCCCTGTTTCTGCTCTGCTGTATTTGTTTTGTGCATAAGTAGGAAGAGTTCAGCTGGCCTGGCGGTCCTCCTGGCTTTGTGCATGAGCACTGCATTCACTTAAAGCTTTAGCTGGAATAGATTTTAAATGATGTAGTTCTTAACTACAGAGAGAAGCCAGATCAGACCGTTCCTGCCCAGCTCTAAGATCAGGTTGCTTCTCTGCAGGAAGTACAGACGCCCCCCGGGTTACACAAACCCGACTTACGCAAGTCCGGATTTACGGAAAAAGTTCCGTAAGCTAGACATAGGTTTTGTTTGTTTGTTTTTGTTTTTTTGCATAATGGTCGGGTATCTGTTTCGACTTACGCAAAATTAGAGTTACGCAAGGCGTTCCGGAATGGAACGCTTGTGTAAGTCGGGGAGCGTCAGTATAGGGTGATGTCTGGGGTTACCTGGGAAAAACCCCTCTAGTAGCCCCTTTCGCTCCAGGAGCAATATCGGACGAGGCCTTGCAGGTATCCCTGATCCTTAACTTGTTTCTTTTTCTCCTTACGATTCTAGTCCTCTATTGTGGAGCTGGCAGACATTTTTGGACCAGCGCCAGTAACTTCAACCCATGTTTCAGCTGATCCGTGGGATATTCCAGGTGGGGGCAACTCTCAATCTGCTGATGCTTGGGAGAATGGCAGAACCTTCTCCCCTCCAGCTCTGTCCTTGTCCAATTCTCTCTGTTTGCCCTTTCCCCTTATCCTCGGCTCACTCACTGCATTCTCGTAGTAACTTTTAACCACACCCGGGCTATTGAACAGAAACGAGAAATGAAGGAAGAAGGGTGACAAATGGTAAACATGGGCTGATTACTAAATGCGTCCTGCCTTCTGGCCTCATTTTGCTTTATGCATTTCTTTCCCGATTACCTGCTCTTTTCTTTTCTTTCTTTCTCCTGCTCCTATCTAACCTATTTGCCTCTTTGCCCCACCTCTGGCTGTGTTTCAGTTCTCTCTGCAGTGCCTTTGAATGGTTCCCTGCCGGTGTTCCACAACTTCCTGTGTGTCTTTCAGGTCTAAAGTCCAATGTGGAACCAGCAGGAGCCTCTTGGGTCCCCTCTGCAGACCCCTGGGCTCCAATCCCTGCTGCTTCCGGGGATCCTCTAAACCAGATGGCAGCATCGATCAACCAGACCTCCACAGGGCCTTGGGATCTTCCTCCCGTAGTCTCCTCCTCTGACCCTTGGGAGAAGACCCCCCTCTCTTCAAGTCTGTCATCAGCAGATGCCTGGGTAAAGGCATCCCCACCTTCTAAAGCTTCCGCTCATGCTACTTCAGCTGCTGATCCTTGGGGAGGTGTCGTTGACAATCCTCCCAGGGCAGGTAAGAGAAGCTCATTTTGTTCGTCAGTTTCCATTGCTACTTGAAGCTCGGATTATTCTTCCTGCCATCCTCACGATACTTACCATCACATCCCCTTCTTTTGGGATCCAGTTTCCTCTGATCCTCTAAAAATCTCAGCCAATACCTGCGTCTTGTATTTCCTTCCCAGGGAACGTCTTTGATGGTCCACTTTGCCAGCTCCACTCTCATCCCCTCTCCCGAGGAGGCGAATGTAGCAGATTTTTCGCCTAAATCTTGAGCACACTGGGAGACCTAGACCCACTCTTAGCCATGTCTATACACAAAATAGAGTTGTAGTGAAAACAGTACAGCCCCCTGGGAGAAGAATAACAAAACCACAGATCGGGTCTGTCCAGTGTATGGTGAAAGCCCTTGCAATGCCCAAAGGGGAAACCCCCAGGAGGACAGTAGTGTGTGATGGAGGAATTTACATTAGTCCCACTGGGAAAAAAAAGCTACAAGAGTTGGACTACACAGTGTGATACCAGTGCTGGTAAGGCCCACACAGGGGAAACAGAGCCACAATGTGTAGAAGCACAAATACTTTCTGAGGGAACAAATTTCTTAGGGCTAGATTCTGATCTGAGTTACAGTGGTGTAAACTTTGCCGTAACTCGACTGAAATCAGTGGAGGAATGGATATTTAAAAGAAGCCAGATTCTGATCTCACTGACACTGACATACATTCATAGTGAAATGACTCTGAATTTAAATCCATGTGAATGAAATCAGAGTCTGGCCCCTAGTGAATACCTTTTCCTTGCCTTAGTTATTAATTAATGATTATTATTCATGTATTATTTGTATTGCCATTGTGCCTTGGAGCTATGGTACCAGGGCCCCCCTGTGCGAGGTGCTGTACAAACACAACAAAAGATGGCCCCCGCCCAACAAAGCTCAGAATTTAAGTAATTCTCAACAATGATTCTTTCCTTAGAGAAAGGAATTCAGGTCACTGGCACTTCTTTGGGTTGCTAGCTTTGCTCGGTCTATGCAGGTGATGGGTTTCTGGAGTCATGGGGCGTGCCTGTCCCTACAGGTCTGGGAGTGGTCTGAACACACCTTCCTGTTGCCCTCTGAGGCACTAACTGTCGGGGCAGCCTGCCGGGCTGCAGAGGATGGCATGTATGAAGTGGGCCCTCCCTTGCGTGCTAAGTTTCTCTGTCTCGTCCACTGGCATTGGTTGGTCAGTGGGTCACTGATTTGGACTCGGTGACTCATTCATACAGGTAGCTTCAGGACTCACTGACCTATTTAATTCCTTTCTCCCTCTCGCTGGTGTTCTATGTTCTCCTTAACCCCTAACTCCCCATCTCTGCTGGTCTTGCCTTGTTTTTGTCCCTTTTAAAAATTGATTCCCTCTGTCCTTCCTCTGTTGTTTTCCTTCCCCTCACTTCCCTTCTGGGTCTGTCTGTCTCCCTTCTTCCTCTCAGCTTCAGGTGATGTCACTTTTGACTTGTTTGCGAAACCGCCACAGCCGACAGAACAGCTGGAACATGAGAGCTCACAGGCCCCATCCTCTGTCAAGCCTAACAGTCCAGTTGGTAAGAGAGTCCAAACAGATCAAGGGTGCTGGGGCCGGAAGGGTAAATAGGGCATTATGGAACAGGGGGGGAAGTCGACGGGTGTGTTTGCAAGTGAGGGTGAGAGCTTCCCTGGGGCTCTGTGGGAATATTGTGGCATGCATCTGCATGATTATAACTCATCATGACATATGGCTACTGGCCTCAAAGTCTCTCACTGTCATAGCGTCATACAATTTCATCTCTGCGTTAGACATCTGACGAAAGGGTTAACTATCCCAAAGTGTTTGCATATGGGCAAAGGTGGAGTCCATGCAAGCTACTGTTTTTCCATTAGCTAGAAATACTTGGGATCAGATGGGGCAAACTTCCATTGACATTTGTCTTCTGAGTCTGGCAACAATGCATGCTGTGACCTGCTGCTGAGCAGACAGAGGACGCAGCTTCTTGAAGCAGAGACTGCTACTTCTGAGCTAGACTCCCTGCAACGACTTTCTGTGTTAAGGGAAGTTTGTCCCAGATAAAAGAGAAGCGTTTGTGAAGGCAATCCAAGCGTGTGCTTTGTGACTCTTCAAGACACAACAGTCAGCAGAGAGAGGCAACGTCACTTGGCTTATGGTGCATTCAGTCTGCAGGATGCACTGTGCTGCTTCTCTCTCATGTGACAGTCCACACTTCTGCCTGTTGTTCTCTTGACATTCATTATCCCATCTCTGTTATGCTATGAAGCCTCTGCTGTTTGTTCTAGATTTGGACCTGTTTGGCGACCTGATTCCCAGCACCAAGCAGAATGGAGTTAAGAACACAGACGTTTTTGATCTTGCGGGCTTAGGAGACTCTCTTACTGACTCCGACAAAGAGAGGAAAGATTGTAAAACTCCAGAGTCCTTTCTTGGCCCAACTGCCTCCTCCCTGGTGAATTTGGACAACTTGGTGGTTGCCCCCGCAACCCTGAAGACTCATAATCCATTTTTGTCAGGTAGGTCATGGGGCACAGGGCCAAGTCGAAAAGGCCGCTGAAGGATGTTGTGCAGTTTCTGAGGGTATGTCTACGCTGCAGCGTAAGCCTAGGGTTCAAACTCAGGCTCAAGCCTAATCCCCATTCTGTCTACACACAAATTGCACTAACCCAGGGTCCCAGGACCCCACAGGGGTGAAGGGTCCGAGCCTGAGTCAACCCGGGACCCAGGGTTCAAGCCCTGTTGCTTTGCAGTGTAAACGCAGCCCCACTGAACTTGTGCTCTGGGAATCCGCAAAAAGTATCCCACAGTCCCATGGGCCAGCTTTCTTTGTCCAAGTTTGTGGACAGTCAGATTTTCCCATGCTGCACCACGAACAAAAGGCTAGAGCAGCCACATTTTGGGAGGGTGCTAGGAAGTCTGGGATACGGGTGGTTGAACTTGGGCCTGCACAATGTAGTGTAGATGCTGGAGCCCCAGGCTAGGGAACCCAGGGTTCAGCAATTCCTAACATGGGGTTACAAATGCGTGTAGATGCTCAAGCCCTAAGTTAACAAACCCAGGGTCTGCTAACTTGAGTTCTACTAACCCTGGGCTTACATTGCAGTGTAGATGTACCCTGAGGCTCTTGGTGGGCTATGTAAGGATGACAGGTGGGACCTTCGGGTGGCTCATGAACTGATGTGAATCAGAAGGTCACAAAAGGATGGGAACATTTTCACAATGACTTGGTTTAACATGCAGCACCTACAGTGACTGAGCTCTGCCCTTAGTATCATAATGAAAAACAAAACCACACTAAAGTTCTGATCCTGGCCAGGAAACGGAGGTCAGCCTGAAACTCATGACAGAGACTTTGATTTGAACTTAACTTCTCAAGCTAATTTTTTCAGTCTTCTGTCTGAATTTCTGGGGTTGAGTCAAACCCTGAATGTTCCTGAACCATCGGTTTAGCAGTTGAATTTAATAGCAGTATGTTTAAAGACCAGTGACTAGCCTTGACCTTTAACCCTATCCCCTAACTTCCTGTCTAGTAGACTGTATCCCTGATGATGCTGTGTACTTTCTCCTGACAGGTCTCAGTGCGCCTTCTCCCACAAACCCATTCAGCACCAGTGACCAGATCAAACCAACACTCAATCAGATGAGGACCAGCTCCCCAGTGCCAGGCGTGGCCATGGGGATGACCATGAACTCCATGACCTACAGTGCTTCACTCCCTCTTCCACTCAGCAGCGTCCCAGTGACCCTCCCCGTCTCCATGAGTGCCTTCCCGCAGGCCGGAGCAGGGCCGTTTCCACAGCTACCCAGCAACCTGCCTCAGCCTTTGTTGCCACTGGCTGGCTCTGCACTTCCCCCCACCTCACAGGGGGTGATGAACCCTTTCCTCTGAAGTCTCTGGATCTGTGTTACGTGTAGTCTCTCTTGTCCCGCCCCCAGCTATTATGGAAATCTTTGCGTGTTCTCATGCAAAGGCCTTGTGGGCACAAGTTCATTAGTTGTGATGGAGGAAACCATTCACCCGAAACTCCTAACCCAACACCTGCCCAGGTCCCAGAGACACAGTTAGCATGAATCTCCTTGCTTGAAGTGCTATAGAAGTACCTGCTCCAGCATGGTGGGTAAAGGACGGCTAGATCTGCCTCTGACGGCAATAAGGACACTCCTGTCATCAGCTGGCATTCCCATGCTCTGCAGAGTAGATGGAGGGTCCCTAAGAAAGGGCTTTAATTATTTAGGGCCCTCTACTCTCCAGCACCGGATGCTGGTACATAGAGAGCCCAGTATGAAGCATCTTAACAGACATTTTCAAGTCGCCATAGATCTCGTAGAGATCATCGTGGGCCTGTCAGTGGGATAGAGGAATCCTTCTGTCATCTGCATGGAAGGTGCAATCACTTGCTGAAACTTGCAGCCCCAACGCTTGCTGGAGGTCAGGATGTTCCCAGGGACAGGAGGAGTACTCCTTAGAATCCCTTTCCTCTGCCAAGTATCGGGGTAGCCCTGTTAGTCTGTATCCACAAAAACAACGAGGAGTCCGGTGGCACCTTAAAGACTAAGAGATTTATTTGGGCATAAGCTTTCGTGGGTAAAAAAAAAACACTTCTTCAGATGCATGGAGTGAAAATTATGGATGCAGGCATTATTATACTGACACATGAAGAGAAGGGAGTTACCTCACAAGTGGAGAACCAGTGTTGACTCACTCTCATAGACCAGTCCTCGCTTACAGACAGCCCCCCCGACCTGAAGCAAATACTCACCAGCAACTACACACCACACCACAGAAACACTAACCCAGGAACCAGTCCCTGTAACAAAGCCCGTTGCCAACTCTGTCCCCATATCTACTCTAGCGACACCATCAGAGGACCCAACCACATGTGCCACACCATCAGGGGCTCGTTCACCTCCACATCTACTAATATGATATATGCCATCATGTGCCAGCAATGCCCCTCTGCCATGTACATTTGGCCAGACCGGACAGTCTTTATGTAAAAGAATAAATGGACACAATTCAGACATCAGGAATGGTAACATACAAAAGCCAGTAGGTGAACATGTCAATCTCCCTGGACATTCTATAACAGATTTAAAAGTGGCCATCCTTCAACAACAAAAACTTCATAAACAGACTTCAAAGAGAAACTGCAGAGCTACAATTCATTTGCAAACTTAACGCCATTAATTTGGGCTCGAATAGGGACATTGTAGTGGCTGGCTCACTACAAAAGCAATTTTCCCTCTCTTGGTATTGACACCTCCTCATCAATTATTGGGAGTGCCCATATCCACCCTGATTGAATTGGCCCTGTCAACACTGGTTCTCCACTTGTGAGGTAACTCCCTTCTCTTCATGTGTCAGTATATTTATGCCTGTATCTGTAATTTTCACTCCATGCAGCTGAAGAAGTGGTTTTTACCCATGAAAGCTTATGCCCAAATAAATCTGTTAGTCTTTAAGGTGCCACCGGACTCCTCCTTGTTTCCTCTGCCCATCACCTGTATGCTTTTCCCCATGGCCCTGGGGATGACTGAACTCTGATCCCGAGAATCTTCTTCCTCTTCTGCTGTCACCCATATGTTCCTCTATTTGGATGCTAATGTTTGGGACCCTCTTCTGTGCCTGCCTTATCCAGATGTCTTCCTCCCCCACATCTAGGTGTCACTCTTGGGAACCCTGTTTCTCTGCTGCTGTCACTTGGATGTTACTCTGCTTGGGTGCTGGTCTTTGGAAACCTTTTCCGCTGATGCGGTCCTCTGTACTGTTCTCCAGGGGGTGCTGACCTCTGGAACGCTGATCCTTTGTGGTTGTTCCCCATGTGTTCATTGGCCTTGGTGCAGATCCTCACAGCCTGACCCCATCTCCCTTAAACTCGACAAGAGACAAAACCCTTCTGAGACAATCCACACAGGCCTGGATAGCTTCAACTACTGGATCCCAGTTTCAGCCAGTCAAAGCCCTCCTGCCAGGACTGCTGTGCTGAGTGGGAAATACATTGGAGTGGGGGAGGAGGGGCTAATGAGCTGGGATTGTAGGGTGGGGACAGTGTGAGGTTAACGTCCTGAGTGCCAGCTGTGTCTTACTTTGAGGACTCCATGCCAACTCCATTAGACCCCCGTGCAGAGGGAGGGGATGACTCTGAGACACTAACACAGCAGAGGGAGGGGTGACGGGACAAGGAAGGGGGAGTTGCCATGCAATTGTTAGCTCTTTAGTGCATACGTTTAACACTTCTCTAAAGCGGCAGCAGTAGCAGCACAGTAATGGAGACTTCGTGGCTATAACCGAACTTAGGAAAACATGAACTGACTATAAAACAATAAAATATTCTAGTGTATTTCGGTGTGGGGCTTCTGACTTCCAAGGAAATTGGTCTGGGCTTTACCCTTTATTTCCCTTCCTAAGTTTGAAGAAGGCTTTGCTTCCCCCTTCTGTGTCTTTTACCGTCTGCCCGTCAGCCTCGTCACAGCAATGCCTGGCCTCTGGATCCAGACCCATCCCTGTTTTGATAGCTGCCCTGTCTCTGGCATTCACACTTGCCTTGCACCTTGGGGCATCATTTACACCATTGCCAAGCGGGTTTACAATGCTGCCATTCTGATTTGCCAGCATTTCTCACCCACTTTGTGCTAGTGTAAATGCCACACGAAGGGCAGGGCAGTGGGGAATCAGGCCCGCTGACGCTACGGTGGTGGGAGCCATGCATGTGCCTGGATGGATTTATAAAGCATCTGTCACAGGGATGTCGGTTTCCTCCCAGAACTCCTGCGTCTTGTTCCCCATATCTGGGATGAGAGTCTGTGCTGTGCCTCCAGAGGCTTTCAGCCACTTTTGCACCCTCCCAATTCTGACCTGCTACAAGGGGCAAAATGGTCCTTGGTGTAAAATAGAGCAGTTGGGGTTCCACCTTGGGCAGCCTCTGGGCTGCTGCAGCCTAGACTCCCTGGTGCAATGGGCAACACCCCATGTTCCTGGGACATCCCCTGCACCAGGCCTGGCAAGGGAACCAGCGTGTAGAGATGCTTACGGTGGCTGTATCAGGGGCATTTCCCCCCCAGCCATTTGCAGGCTGTTTCTGGCTCGTGCATACCAGTGCAGAGGCACATAGAGTCTGGAGCAGGGATGAGAATCTCACTGCTGACCTTTTCTTTTACCAGTGCTGTGGGCTTTCTACTCCCCATTCCTGAGAAATGCCCTTCTGCTTCTCCCCTCCAGTTGTGAACGTCCTCCTCCCACCCTGGAGCTCTCTCCAGCACGGCCTTGCTCCTAGTCTGTCTGACCTCTCAGCAGTGCTCAGCTGCTTCTTGCCCCCACTTGGAATCTTTTGCCAGGCCTTCTGGGTGAGTTTGTCGAGCAGGAAGTTGAGCCGTTTCAGTGTCAAAGCAAAGAGGGCTGTCTCTTTAAAAGAATGAGCCAGGGACTTGCTGCCTTGAGTTCTGAAGGACAAGAATTGTTTCTGACTGAGCCAGGCCCCTGCGAGGAGCATCCTGCTGGCCTGCAGATCCTCTGCCCGTGGAGCAGACACAGGGGATTGCAGTTCTGGCTTCGCTTGGGGTGTATTTCTGCCATTCGCTCTCTTGCCCAGCTACATTCCCTTGGCAGCTCTTTGGAGATGGTTTGTTGTTTGCCTGTGTGGGGGACGTGGGCATGTCAACTCCATCTTCTCCTATGGAACAATAAACATGGCTAACATCTGTCAGCTCACAGGCAGTCTCAGCTACAGCCGTCTGTCCAGGCGGCCTTTACATTGAGCCAGAGAGGCCACCATGTACGGCCTGGAAGCAGGCCCAGACTGGGCTCCCCCATCTCAAAGGCAGTGATAGCATGCTAGAGGGGCAAAAGCGACTGGGTAGCATGAGGGGCTGTTTAATGTCATCTAGATGGAAAGCACAATATTCCTCCCAAGACGAAATCAGATCCCACTTGTGTGTGTGACATTTCATGGGGTCCCCAGGCCCGAGTCACCTTACCACCCCCTGCCTCCAGCCAGAGGGAGTCTGGCCTGAGGTGGCTGGTCTCCGCTCCCTAAGCCTGTCAGCCCCTCGACCACTCTTCTCCGGGTTATGCCAGCCCTGAGTTCGCCTTGCAGGTTAACAATACCTGCAGCCCAGTCCCCGAGTCCCTGTGATAGCTAGTCCCTGTCACTGGCTACTCACAGAAATCCCACAGCCTCTGCCCCCAAAGGAGCAGTGTGTCTCAGTGTGCCAGTTTTACCTTAACGCCCCCCACCCCCAACACACAGCACTTGTAATAAAACAAAAGACGGTTTATTTGAGAAAGGATAGCGATTCTCCTAGAAACAAGTGTGACAGATGGAAACAAATGGTTACAATACAAAACAAAATCATCAAACGGAAACTGGGTCTACACTTACTAATAGTTACCTTTCCTAGCTAATAAATTAGGCTTTCCCCTCAACGTTTAGTCTGTTGCAGGGCTGGCTAGCTGGCTTCCCGGGAACCAGTATCCAATTTTTCATGAGCACGCTGCCCCGTCCCCCGCCCCGATGTCTGCTCAGTGAATGGATCCAGGGACCTTTCCCCACCCTGTGTTATACTGATACAGTCTTTTGTCTTTATCCAGAGCCAGGGTGATCCCCCATCTGTTGTAATGTTCCTTTTTGACCTCCAAGCGATTTTGATTGTTTGCGGTTGTCTCTGATGGTTTTTCATTGAAAGTCTTGGGGTGGAACAAGGCTAGACAATTGAGCCTGGTATTACATCAGTGGCTAACCAGGGCAGGGTGACGACTCCCTCCTGCTTGAATGGGCTACCACTGAGACACATTATCCCCTGGTGATTAACTTTTACTCCCAGTCCATAAAGCAGACTTTCAATATAATTACCTTATAGGGTTGCCAACTTTCTAATTGCACAAAACCGAACACCGGGGCGGCTCTAGCTTTTTTGCCGCCCCAAGCACGGCAGGCAGGCTGGCTTCGGCGGCATGCCTGCGGCAGGTCCCCGGTCCTGCGGATTCGGCGGCGTGCCTGCGGGAGGTCCACTGGTCCCACGGCTTCGGCATACCCGCCGCCGAATTGCCGCCTAATCCGCGGGACCGGCGGACCTCCTGCAGGCACGCCGCCGAAGGCAGCCTGCCTGCCGCCCTTGCAGGGACTGGCAGGGCGCCCCCCGCGACTTGCCGTCCCAGGCACGCGCTTGGTGCGCTGGTGCCTGGAGCCGCTGTGGCCGAACACCCTTGCCCTGCCCCACCCCTTCTCCGAGGCCCTGCCCCCACTCACTCCATCCCCCCTCCCTCCATTACTCGCTCTCCCCCACCCTCATTCACTTTCACTGGGCTGGGGGAGCAGGTTG